TAAACGTTATTTTTATAATTTGTCCAGGACCTTCTGAAAGTGGGCAAAGGACTTTTCCATCCCTCCGTGCTGGCTTTCGTCCCTGCTGGCTGAGTAAGCTGATAGCAGTGCGGTTTCTTCCTCAGGGAAACTCCCTCTGAATCTCAGACTCTTGGGTCTTGGCTGCTATTTCTAGTTGGATGCACCTCTCCAATGAAACAGTGAGCACTTGGAGGGCTGCAGAAGGACCAGCACGTCTTTGGAGTGTCTCAAAATGCCTGGTACAGTCCTGACTGTGCAGGGAACATGAAACTCTGCTTATTCACCAACCAAAGGTTGAGCTTCTGTGCCGTGTGGGCCACGGTGGCCAGCACTGGAGTGAGGGGTTCTAACACAAGTGGAAGAGGGAATTAACATTTGCACCACCCAGTAAAATGGAGAACCAGCCAGCCAACCAACAACAACCACCGAAACAGCATTCAGGTGCTTCCCCTGTTTACTCCCTTGACCTCCACCAAGTAGATGCAACCGTCCCCTTTTCCTAGAGGAGAAAACTGAGGTTCCTGGAGGAACAATTTGCTCAAGATTCCCAGGGAAAAAGAGCAGCTAAGGAGGGCAGAGCCACCTCTGCACGATTTCCATGTCAACCCATCAATGCCCACGTGCTTTACCTGCTCACATTCCTCAGCGTAGGATTCACAGACATCTCTGTTTGATCGAATGAATAAGTGAGTTAATCCAGAAGGACAAACTGGGATTTGGATTTTAATAGAGGCACACAGTCTTATGGACGTGCCAAGTGGGGTGGCAAAGAACGGATACGCCTAACCACAGGTAGGTGCAGCAAAGTCAGAGCACCAGTCACAAAGGAAGGAAGGAGAGAGATCGAGGTCTTGTCCACCTTCTAAGGCAGGAATCTCCTGTTCCATCACCAGCTCAGCCTGAGTGCCTGGTGATGGGGTGCTCCCTACACCACAAGGCACTCCAGCTCGGTGTGGATAGTTCTCATTCTTAGAAAGGTTTTCTTGACTTTGGCCCTGAAACAACAGCCCTGGAAATGCTTGGTCTAAATTTTACCCTCAAAGGATTAACCAAATAAATTGGTTAGTTGACTGAAGGTCTGTAATCCCTGGGAGAGCAGTGCACATTCCGAGAGTCTCAGTGTTTCCATTTCCTCCTTAGGCCACTGCAGAAGGCGGGGCGGGGAGGGGGGGGGTTGCCTGTTTGGATGGGAGGAAATGGGCTTTGGTAGAAATGCTAGGGGTAGGGGTGGGATGAAGGAACATCTACATCTCATTTTGGCAGCCTATGGTGTAAAGCACAGGAGAAATGCGAAACACAGAGACAAAATGAGAACAAGATGAGATCTTTGCAAACACTTAAACCAAACCATGCTAAGATTCCCGGAAGGAGAGATAACTCAATACTTTCAGTTTGTTTCCACTTCCCAGCACTTGAATTCCAGCTGGGCCAGGAAGGTGCATGGCCAAAACACCCAAAGAATGTCTCTTACTATAGGGTGTTCAGCCCAACTGGCACAGCCAGGAAGTTTTGATACTTCTGGTAACATTTGGATGTAAGACTCAACATTCGTGATGGAGTAGCTTAGCTCTGACCAAATTTGGGGATCTTGTGTGAAGAGAATGGACAGGAGAGGGTGGCAACTATTAAAGGGGAGGGCTCATACAGAAACGACAGCTGAAGTTTTCATCGTTTCCTAGACTCATCGAGCACGAGTGGGTGCTGTGCCTCTGCGGGAGCCCCGGTTAGAACCTGTCCTCTCATTCTGATGGGGCTGCTCCTGATGGCGTTCTCACACTAACGTCTCCCACGCTAACAAGGTCAGAGGTTGGGTCTTTAACCTCTTTGGTTTCTTCCGTGGGCTCCAGCACAGATTTAGGCACATAACTCTCCAACAAGCACCTGTATCTGTCATGTTTACAGCATCAGGGGAAGGCAGAGAGTAGGACAAAACTGCTTTGTAAAGAGGAACTGGACATCACTGTGGTGATTTTATCACTCCCCTAGTTAACGGAGTGTCCCAGTGAACACCAGGGGACCAAGGAGCAGGGCCACCTAGACAGGGAGCGGGACCGCCTGGAGTCTGCAGGAGAACTCCAGCCCCTCACGGAGTGTGCACGGGAAGTCACACCACTGCTAAGCGCTGTCCATCCACCATTCTCCCTGCTTGTTTCACAGTGATGCTTTGTAGGAATCCAGTTATTTCCAGCTCTTTGATAGGACGACATAGTCCCAAGCTCCCACTACCATCTTCCATGAGATCCTTTCAATCCTAGATTTCCCACTCTAGGCTGTGTGACTCTGGGGAGACCACTCCACCTCCTAGTTTCTCCAAGGTAGGTAAAGACTCTTTCCTTGAAGAATGGTTGATTAAGAAGTGTGTATGAGGGTCCAGTGCGGTGGCTGCCGCACCTTGGCAACCACCGGTTCCCTGCACGACTCCCCTCTCTGTGCTTTAGTACCCACTCTCCGGACCATTATTCCTATATGGCGAGTTCCTGTAGGATGTCCCTGTGTGTGTGTGCACATGTGTGTGCCTGTGTGTGTGTAGAAGAGACAGAAGGTTCAGGGGAGGAGGAGGAGAAGTATATAATTGCACTGGGAGAAGGTGAGGGGCACGTGGTGCATCTAAGAACCTCCCAACTCCCTCTCTCAAGCCATCAACCTCTTCACCAGAGGTCCTGACAGGGTGAAAATTAACTACCAGCCTCCTCTAATCACCGCACAAGGTAATGAGGGCCACAGTTAGACTTCCTCCTCCTCTCTGTTGTCAGAAAGGAGCTATGTTTACACTCCAGGAGGAGCCTTTACACAGAATTATGCAGGTTGTGTGTGTGTGGTGGTGACAGGGTGTGTGTGTGTGTGTGTGTGTGTGTGTACGCACATGTCCGCCTGTGCATGATGGGGGGCGATGTGTAAATGACTTCTAGGTATTTGCTTTCACATGGGGAATGGGGTGGGGGGACTTTTGTTCCGCCGGCCTCCAGGCCACCCTGCCCGGCCCTGCACCCAGACTGCACACACATCCCTCCCCTGACCCTGTATTCTCCAGTGAGCTGATCTCATTATGGCAAATTTAGTTACAGCTGAAGTCTCCTTGTAACAAAGATTATGTCCAAGCCCAGAGTAATGGAACCTAGTCGATTTCATTAAAATAAAATTGGTTACAATGAATAATTCAATAGGATGATTTTGTTTCCTCATCTCCTCTTTGTAGATCGAAGCGCTAGTATTTATAATGATTTTTTAAATTGGATTTTTGTTTAGGAAGAGATAATCACCCATGATTCCTGACAGCCCCCACCTTAAGAGATTGGAATAATTGCTCCACGAAGTCTCTTTTCAAATGCTAAGATTGGAAAATTCTTTCTCTCCTTTTCTCACATTAGTAGCAATAACCTTTGAGTGGTTTTTGAAGCCCAGCTGCTACCTCGACTCTCGCTCATGCAAGATTCTGAGTGCGTTAATAATACCCTTGTTTGAATGATGTTTTTTTAAACATTTCTAGGAACTAGATGCCAGCGTTGAATTTGGAATTCCTGGTCCTGTGGCTTGGGGCCCTCCTATTCCTGAAGCCGGACACTGTGTGACAGGTGACTTGGGCATTTTCTCTTAGTGTTGTTCACTTGCCTGTTGTGTGTGTGTGTGTGTGTGTGTGTGGTCAATTAAATACACATCTCCTGAACGTCTAGTCATGGGGACACAGAGATGAAGAAAACCTCAAATCTGTTTTTAAAAAAACTAGCAGCCTAATGGGGAAGCCAGACACATCACCAGATAATTAGAGTTCAGAGCACGGGTGTAACCAAAGATGAATGCAGCAAGCACAGAGGCAGCACGGAGCAGGACGGGCCCCAGACAAGCATTCATTTATCCATTCATTCTTTCCTTCACTCCTGCACCAAGCTGTTACTGCACACGAGAAGCTTCCATTCCTCTCCATTCTCCGCGAGGCAGTCAGAAACAAACACGAACGAATAAATAAAGCATCTAATGCATGTAAACACAATCAGATAAACGAAAAAATAATCAAACAAGCACTACAACTTAAAAATGAAGTCGGATTCGTCTTGTACCTCATCCAGTGATTTTTCACTCGGCTGCAGGACGAGGTCCCAACTCTCTTTCACCTAGAAATCAGGCTTCCCCTCCCTTGACCCTGAGTCTGGGAAGCGATACTAGACCAGAATGGCTAATGGCTCACCTGCCAGGCCGGGAGGCAGGCCGGCCTCAGGAATGGCTACTGGGCCAGGCGGCAGGAAGCACTGAGTCGTGTCTCTGGGAAATGGGAGTCTCGGAAGAAGGCAGGTGCTTGCTCAGCAGGATAATTGGAAAGGGGGCTCTGGGGACAGCAGGGCCATCCCGAGAATCACATAAGCTCTGGTGGCCCCAGCACTCTTGCTCCCTCAACTAAGCTGACAGTTCCTTGGGGGAAGAACTCTGGAACATAAATAGTGCATTAAGGGACTGAGGAATGAGTCACAGCTTCTTAGGGTTGAGAAAGTCCTTGGAGATCACCCAGCTCAACTACCCTCTAATCTAAGTATGAGGAAAATGGGGCCCAGAGAGGTGGAAGACTAGTCCGAAGCCACACAGCAAACCCATCATGGCAGAGATACCGTTAATTCACAGGACAGTGTTCAAGCAGCACCAACGTGACACCCTCCCTGCCCAAAGTGAGACTTCTCCACTGAATTCCGGCGGTATGTCCAAAATGGAGCACTTTCCCCAAATACGAATTACAATGGGTAAGGAAACAGGAGGATGCTCGTCGCTGCCATCACATTGCAGAAACATCTCTGATATTTCTTGCCCTTAATCATTCCAGTCATGTCCAATCTCTGACAAACAGTATTTATGAGACCTTACAAGTACATTTGGTTAGAGATATGGTCCAGTGGCCATGTCCGAGACACTGCCCGTTGCGACGGGCCACCTTCAGAGGCAGAGCAGAGATTCAGAATGTCTGCAGGAAACATCACACACGGCAGGGAGCTTACCTGGGATGCTGCTGGTTGGCCGATGATGACCCAGCCTGGGCACTGCGGGTCTTGATGCGATACGGAAGCATTGGATGCCCACTGATCCAGGAACCCCTGGGGCGTGTAGACACCACAGTCCTTGATGCTGGTTTTTTGCTCAAACTCCTCACATACCCCATCACCATCATGGAAATAGCACCGGCTGGGTTCATCTGCAGCAGACAGACAGAAAAGAGAGGGAACAGATTAGTCTTTGTTCTTTGGCCTCATCTATCGGCAGCAGCTACGGAATCAGCAGATCATCACCACCAAACCTATCACTGGCAGTCACAGCTGACAATCATTCAGTCTTTACAAAGAAGGAAATCTTGCCGTATGAGACAACATGGATGGACCTGGAGGACATTAATGACATCAAATAAGCTAGTCACAGAAGGACGAATATTGTAGGATTCCACTTGTATGATGCATACAAGACAATTAAACTCACAGACGAGACAGTAGAATGGTAGTCGTCAAGGGCTGAGAGGACGGGAGCATGCTCGAGATTTGAGAGTTGCAGTTCAGTGGGTATCAAGCCTCAGTTATGCAAGATGAGTAAGTTCTAGAGATCTGCTGTACTATGCTGTGATTATAGGTAACAAAACTGTACGTACACTTAACATTTTTTTTAATGGGATAGATCTTGTATTACGTGACTACAGACTAGCACATACTAAGTTAACACTTTCACCTTCGTTATCCCAAGTGCACCCCACAGCAACTTTGTGAGGAAGATGTTACTATTTAAATTATTACTTTAGTCTTCCAGATTAGGAAACTAAGATCCTGCAGGTCTTTAATAATTTGCCCAAGGTGTGTGCATGCAGTGTGTGCATGCCAGGTCCTGGCTGCAAACTCAAAGATTTCACTTTCCAAGTTCTGGGTACGCTATCTGACACCACAGAACTTCACAAAGCTGAAAACTGAGGTTTATTTACCTGTAAAGAAGATTATAGTTTCACATGAAGAGTGCACCTTATGGGAGACTCTAGCTGCACTCCCAGGTCTGTAACTAAATTGCTCTGTTACTTTAGACAAATCTCTTTCCTTCTCTGGTCTGCATCGTCATAAAGGGGGTTAGACGAATGAGACTCCGGGAGCCCTTCCTGTCCAAGGCGCTGAGCTTCTAAGCACTTGTTGGATATCTTAGGTGTTTCAGTTAAAGGCCAAGTGAGTTCTCAAGCTCCCACGTAACTCATATCCCAGCGAGGAATTCTGCCTGGGACAATTTACAGCTGCAGCTGGCTGCAATGGTTCTCACACAGCTGCAAGAACAAAAATCACAGAAGCACAGAGCAAGCCGGATGCCTTCTATGTAGGTAGGAACTTTACAGGACATGTTTCTTGTTTTACTATAAAAACCATGCAAGGAGACATCTGGATGTAGCCACCCAAAAGAGATCCCCCTGCCTGTCTTTTCATAACTCGAATGCCAGGTATTCTGTGCTGCTTTCCTAGCTCTTCTAGGAAAAGCAAAATACCCTCTCCTGCATGGGCTCCTATTTTATAAAGAGCCCCATCTGAACACCTATCACACTGCACTGCCATCACGTTTACATGATAGCAGCTCCTTTGAAAGGCTGTGAGCTCCTTGAAATCCAGGTCCTATTCAGGGTTTTGGAGCGACCTTATAATTTATCATCCAAATAGTGCACTTTGAGAGTGAGAGAGATGCTAGTAAAACTCTGTCCAGGCAATAGGCACACATCTCGAGAAAATCTAAGTATCGCAGAACGTGCAGTCACCCCGAGGATACTGCTTGACCTAGGACATCCTTGCCCTATTCACTCCAGAATAATGGAGTGAAGCTCCATTTCCAACCAGGGTTTGGCTTCTGTCCTTAATATTAGCTATGGAACTTTTGTGCAGTTATCTTCTCCGTTGATACAGAAATCATCATCCTAGCCAGGGCAACCTCTCAAGACACCCACAGAACTTTCATTAAGAAATGGACATAAATGTGCTTCCTACATTCCAAAACAATAGTCAAGAGAAAAAGTGCTCTTCTCCTAAGGGCTCGATTTATTCCTAAGTGGCTGAATTGGACCAGCTTGTAAAAATTAGCACTCACTTGAAACACTTTCAAGCAGCATTTCCCCAAACAGAAAGAGCCTGAGTCAAGTAGAAATAAGACTTGGATTTCAATGATGCTGACTATCTGAAAAAAGGAGCCATTGATTTCAGGGGCCCCTTCCAAGCTCCAAAATCCCATGTTTATTTCTGCAAACAGTTTACATAGTAAAATATTATCAAAAGAGCCAGAATAAGTCAATTCATTATAATTCAATTACTTAAGGATGAGTTTGAGCCAGCTGAGGACTCCAGTGATCAGTAGCATGCCTGGCAGCTCAAGTGTGGAAAGAACACAGGCTTTCTCAGTAGCTCCATCTTCATGGTGACTGTGGCCAACTTACCTACAATAAAACGTAGGCCCAGTCCGAGAGCGACCAGCCATCAATCCACACTTGACTCTTTAGAAACCCAATAAAGGGATTTGCAAAGGGCATAGATTTTGGCATCAGGCGAGATTCAAATCCCAACTCTGTTGTACACAAGTGGTACAGGGCTTGAACAAAATAACCTAATCTTTCTAAACTTTATTTCCCTCATTCAAAAAAAAAAAGGAGACAATATTTACATAGCATTGTTGCAGTGATTCCATTCGATGATGTGTATAATCCCATTTTATCTAGTGGAACATTGAGAGCCATAGGAGGTCGGGCGTCTGTTTCCAGATAACAGAGAGTTGGTGGCGGGGCTAGGAGGAGGAACCTGGCCTTCTTGTATCTAGCAGACAGATCTCCCCCACAACACATCATATCGACAGAATGATGAAGGCACCATCCTCTTCAGGAAAAGATCATGGGGTCTCCTGACTCTTTGGTGCCACCTTTCTTTGCCTCCAACATGAAGACAAAAAGGGTAAGATGATCGTCAGATCACATACGATCTGTTCTCCAGGATAAGTTAATTCATCTCATCCAAGAGACCTCAGAGAGGGCAGGAATTAGGGCTGGAACTGAGTTCATGTGAAGGCTGGTTTCTTCCTGATTATGTTTAAGACCTCAGTCTATCTGCCTGCTTAGAGCCAGCGGAACCTGGCAGTTCAGGTGGACAGGTAGAGGTCGAGGTGGACACAGGGAGGTAAATACGGACTTAGGCAACTGTACAAGGTATATAAGATACTTGCTGTAAAGATGGGCAGAAGCAGAGTGAAAACAGAGATAGGGAGTAAAGCTAAAGTGGAGGGAGGGGGACAGAGAGAGGGAGGGATGGGAAGAGAGAGGGGGAGGGGGAGAGAGAGAGAGAGAAAGGGAAGGAGAACTGTTTTCTCCCTGACGATTCTGCTGACAAAGCTACCGTGAGCCCCTTTTCTTGGAATAACATCCCTGCACTCTGCTATTCAGTTTCTCTTGCTACTAGGGAGACCAGGGGCCCTACAGCGGCATCTGCCAGTCTTCATCTGGGGAATTCTCTCTCCCTCTCTACTCCTAGGCCCCAAGCACTGAGGAAAGCAGGGCGAGGAACAGAATACAAATGTGCGGCCAGGAAAAACAAAGGCGGCAGCAACAAAACACTAAGACAAAACCAGCCTCCCTGTTCTCATCACACCCATTTACTCGGTGCTCCTCGACCACTTTATGCTGGGGGCTGAGCAGGTTGTAGGGGAAAGCATTTGAAGTCAACACCAAGGTCAAAATGAGGGCCCTGACACCTGCCTTCCACGTAATAGCTAGGTGGCGTTGATGATAATACGGCCCATTGGGAGGGGTACTGTGAAAACCAGTATGTGTTGAATGAATGAATGAATGAATGAGGAAAATTCAGCACCCGTGAGGCACATTCTCTTGTCCAAACAGAGTTGAGACTCTGTACCTTTTGAAACATTTCTGTTTCTTTCTTAGACTGGGTCTTGGGGTAAAGGGAGCAGGGCTGAGACACCGGTGGTGACTGGCTTCCAGTGGAATTGCACGGGGCAGTCTGATTTCTCCATCTCAGCCCCGTCCTCCCCTGACAGAAGGGAACTCCTCATTTCAGATCCACTCCCTTTCAGGCAGTGACACAGTTACAAGTCTGTTCCATCCAGCTAGGGGACTCGATGTGGGTGGGGAGACACTGCCAAGTCCGTCTTCCCTGCGTGAGCTTTCAATTGCCAGAGACCTTCTTTTCCTTTTGGAAGAAATGAGCTCATCTCTGAGAGCCCGAGGCAGATGGACCCTGGGTAAGTGGACAGCCGCTTCTCATTGACTTAACTGCCAAGTGCCATCTGTCTGGGAGCATCAGGATGGAATGCTATGCCTCGGCTCTCCTGCAGCAGGTCCGGAGGACACGACTGGAGATGAGCAGGAATTGTCATCTGATTCAAAAGCTTGGAAAGCCACACCTCAGGGCGGTGAGACAGGTTTACTTTAAATTACAAGCAAAGGCTGGCGTAGGAGCTATCGTTAAGCGTTCTCATCCCTGAAGTCAGAAACCCTGGATTCATTCAAACTCCTTATTTGTCCATGATTAGTGGGTAAGCCTGGGCAGGTTATCTCACCTCACCGCGCCTCAGTTTCCCCATCCTTAAGATGCAAACAAGGTTACCTTTTAGACTGCCTCAGTGAAGCACTGGGTATGATCAAACAGTGTAACAGACTTGGGGACGGGACAGGGACACGAGTCTTAGGCACACAGGGCTCATTAGCAACAAGGGCAGTGGTGGGATGAGGCAGGGGTTGGAGGAGACAGCTTCTCTATTAGATTTCTACTTTGATGTACCCAGACCTAGATCCTAACGACTCTTCAAGGAGAAAAATGATTGAAGACAGTACACAGGCTATTTTCAATGTAAATAGCAAGGAACCAAGTAAACCAGCAAAAAGGGGGGTAAAAGCAACAATCTAAAGGAAAGAATTATTTATAGTAGAACTATTTCTACCCAACTGGGGGCCACTAATTAACTTAGCTTGATTACAAACTTTGGTAATTTGTGATACCACTGGAATCCTTGAGGTGACTGAGTGAGAGAGAGCTAGAGAGCTCATGGCTGGAAGAGGGAGGAACTTAAATCACTCCTGTCGGCTCAGTACAAGATCTCAGGGATGGTTTCCACTAGGACGGCTGCCCTCACACTGACTCTTCTCGCCACTTTAAGTGCCTTGAAGACAGAGCCACAAGTTATTGGTCA